GGCGGGCCCCCCCCCCCCCCCTCCACACACACACACGCTTTACACTGGCCACCACGGAAGAGAGCCACTTGTGGAGGAAAGGAAAATTCAGAATTAACGACTGCTGTGTTTTCCGCTTTGGGGGATGGCTGTACCATCCAAAGGAAGCAGGCAGAGATGCTACAGGGACAGTGGCTCTGTCGCACCCCAGCTCTGCACAAACCGGTCTCTCAAAGCCTCCCATCCCCCCCCCCCCCCGCCCCCCCCCCCCTGTCCCCCCCCCTCCCAATTCAGTTTAGGTTGACTGAAGGAACAGCAATGAGGCCGCCGCCCTCCTGCGACCACCAGTTTCACATGAGTCAGGGAAGTACACTCTGCATGTGCTCAGAAACAGAGTTAGTGACAATATTCCAGGGCTGTCTTGAGACTAAAATGACAATTCCTTAGCTTTAGGGGAAAGCGTCTTCTTTGGGATCCTATGGTGCAGGTGTTCAAGTGGGAAAACCAACCCCCTTCTATGGTTAAAAGGAAAGGCCTCGGAAGAAGAAGAAGAGAAGAAGAGATTGGATGTATATCCCGTGGCCCTTCACTACCCGAAGGAGTCTCAGAGCGGCTGACAATCTCCTTTCCCCTCCCCTCCCCACAACAGACACCCTGTGAGGTCTGTGGGGCTGAGAGAGCTCTGAGAGAAATGGCTCTTTTTCAAGGACAGCTCTTGTCAAAGACAGGGCTTGCCCAAGGCCCTCCAGCCAGGTGCAAGTGGAGGAGGAGTGGGGAATCGAACCCGGTTCTCCCAGATTAGAGTCCTCTGCGCACTCCTAACCATGACACCAAAGAGGCACGTGACACCTGAGAGCAAAAGGAAGCCCCCCCCGTCTACCATGACCGGGATCCAGGGGGGAAAGCTCTCTGACATTCAGGAGGGCTGGGGGAGCCTCGTGGTCCAACTAGGGTCTGGGGTAACCGGGTTCGAATCCCTCACTCAACCACAGAAGCCTGCCTGCCTGCCTGCCTGCTGGGGGGCCTTGAGTCCACCCCCATCTCTCAGCCTCAGTGACCTTCACAAGATTGCTGCTGCTGTGAGGATTAGACGGAGGAGGAGGAGGCGGGAGGACTGATGTGAAAAGCCGCTTTCGGCTGTGACCGTTCAGTGCAAACTCCAGGTTCATTCGCAGTCCACCTCGGAGGGATGATGCTGGGGAGACGGCCCTTCACGCTGGTTGGCCACTGCTGGAGAGAAGGTGCCGTGTGGACCAACCCAGCTAGCCTCTTCTGTAAAATGAGCGCACACAACCATTTGTCAAGAAAATAGAATATCTTTATTGCGGGACACATTCACAAACATAGAAATGGACTGGACACTATCGCCTCTCTTTTCCAGCTCTCCTCATTGAGAGAAAACACACTTTGGGGGGAGGGAACGGTCCCACTGCAAAGGCACAGCCCCCCCCCCCCGCCTTCTTTCAGTGGTGCCTGAAGCACGCCCACCTTGGGAACAGGCCACGACAACTGTCCCAGGTGTACCTTGAGACCCTTAGGGAAGGAATGCCATCCCAAACCCAAAGAAAGGGCTACAAGCCGCCCCCCCCCCCCCCCCGCGGCATAGAAACGGTGGGTTCTGCTTTCCCCAGTGGTGAGCAGGCCTGAGTCAGGGTGGGGGGAGAAGGTGCCCCTGCCGCCTTGGGAGGCAGCTCTCAGCCCCGGGTGCAGCCTGGCAGTCGTGTCCATCGGCCAGCAGCCGCTACACGGGCATGAGAGGAAGCAGAAGACCTGCGCAAGGCCAAGGGGGAGGGGAGGAGCCGACTCTCTTGCAAACCATGCTTGGCAGGAGGAGGAGAGGATGGCGCCACGATGCCTGCTCTGGGCCAGTGAAGTGGCCAAAACATGGCCCGTAGAGCCCCCCCCTCAGGAATGGGTTCAGCTGGGGGCTGAGCTCTGAACTCCAAAGGAAAGCCCGGACCAGCCCAGCCCAGTCCACAAACACCAAGCGAGAGGCTTTGGACTAAGCCAGGAACCCACCGCCATCCGCCCTGTCCTGTCCCATCACACAACCATCACACAACCTCACCACGGCCATCACTCTTGAGACACATTCTGCAAAAGGAGGGGGTGGGGGGGAGGGGGCAGGACAGGGATCCCACGCTTGGCGGCAGCAAGCACCACGGGGCCTGCAGGAGAAGGGTCCAGTGCTAAGGAGGGCCACGGGCCCCTTGACGCTTCCCCCCCCCCCGCCTTTGGTGCGGCTGAAACCTCCTGCCTGCCTGCCTGGGGGAGCTGTAGCTCAAGGGCTCTTACGGGGCCGAAGCACTACCCGTCTGTTGCCACTGCGTCCTGTGGAGCAGCAACGAAGCGCACCATTGCCCAGGATAAGACGTTACGCAGCCACGCGTCACAGCGGCCCAGCCAGGATTCCGGCTGCCACACCTCATGGCCTTTGGCAGCATCACCTTGCAGTGATGGAGCCTGCCGAGGGGGGGGCAAAGAGAGGCTCATAGAGCGGGGGCCACGCTGGCTGCTGCTGGCGGAGCTCTTTCTCCAGCCTCTTGAAGATCTTCTTGGAGGCCTTCTTGCGGCGCAGCTTCCGTAAGCCATCCAACAAGCTGTGGTCCAAGAAGGTCTGGAAGGAAGACAGGAAGCCTTCAGAGAGGGGGCCGGGCAGAAGCCGGCCGGGCGCCCCATGCAGGCCCTCCAAGCAATGGCTCCGCATCCGGCCCTGGGGTGGGCAGGGGAGCTCCCTTGAGCCACCAGCAGCCCTCTCCCCCGACCAATCCGTCTCACCCTCTCAAAAAGCCACTGCCGTCAGAAGACGCCACAACCACTCATGGCAACTGAATCCAACAGCCCATGCTGCATTACAGGGTGACATTCGTCTACCCTTTGTTTGCTCTAAACCGACTGCCAATCTCTTTCACGGGATTCCTTCCTGCCTGCGGGTTTCTCTCCCAGTCCCTTTTTATCCCCTCCCTTACCTCCAACACAAAGGCCATGAAGAAATGGAGCGTGGCCATGCCAAGCAGCACCAGCTTGAAGTTCATGTCGTCAATCTCCTTCAGCGTCAACATGGTCATGAAGCCCAGCGGGTAAAGGGTGAACCAGACCATGAGGCCAAACAGGACAATGAGGGCAACCAAAAAGAACACTGGGGGGGAGGAGGGGAGGAGAGAGAGAGACAGTGAGCAACCACGGGAGTGGGGGGGGGGCGAGGCCCAGCGCCAGACTGCCCCCCCCACATCTTCCTGCCTAGATGCCCCCAAAGAGAAGAGGCTGGAACTGAGAGGGAGGGAGGAGACCCCTGACTAGCAGAATTCTCTTGCTGCTCAGAAACGGGGCTGAAGGGAGCACATGGATTCCCCTGCTCTCCAGACACTGCCTAGCAGCCTAGGTGGACGGTGCTGGGGGGAGGGGTTAGGGGACGCCGCCGCAAGAGAGAGACACAGACTCACCGTTGCTATAGAGGGGTTCCCTGAAAGGGTAGCCCTTGGACATGGCCACAGCCAGAATGAGGTACTGGAACCCTGAGATGCAGAACACAACCGTGTTTTCATAATTCGGGAGGTTCTCAGGGGCCGTCACAGTGCTGTTCAACGGAACGTACCTGGAAAGTCGGGGAAGCCGGGTGTTACCACTCACCACGACCACTGCCAGTGTCTGGTGGCAGATAAACGGGCCCTCTGAAGCCCAGGGGGCCAGCAGCCGCTCCGGGCAGACCCAGGCTGGCCCGAGGGCACGACTCTTCCATCTCTGCAATCACTCACCATCTCTGAGAGACGGTAATGAAGTAGCAGATGACCTGGACGGCAACGAGGAGCCCTGTCTGGAGGAGGAGGCTGCCCAAGACGACGGGGTGGATCAGCGTCCCTTGTGGGCGCTCCGGCCCCAGCTCCTTGGCCGGCGCGGTCTTGCCCATCAGAGCGGCCACGGTGGTGGTGATCACCAGGTCGAAGAAGAAGAACTGCAGGTCACTGAGGTTGGTGTTGATCTGGACAGTGGCAGGGAGCGCCACAGAAAAGAGCGTCAGTCATTGGCCCTCGTCCCAGGCCCCTTTCAAAGCGTCATCTGAAACTGGTGGTTATCACTTGCTGGTCTGATGCCTTGCAAAATGGCATGGGGCAGCGGCGGAGGTTTCAGGTAGCATTTTAAAATCTCTTTATGAGCCGCATCTGAAGTGCTCTGCCCATTTCAAACTGTGCCCCTCCCCCCTCCCTTTCTGCAGCACGGCCCGTTCTGGCTCACTTTTGCACCCTCTTCGGCTGCTGAGAACACCCTGGCGACCCAGGAGTGGGGAGGCCGACGGCAGGGAAGGGGGAGCGCAGCCCCAAGCCTCCCTCGCTGCGTCATGAGTCTTACCGTGTAGAGCAGGAGCACGGAGACGAACTGCACCAAGCTGTAGAGGGCCATGTATTTGAAGACCACAAAGGAGGTGACCAGAGAGCATCGGCCCTCCCTGCAAGGGAGAAGGAACAGCACACATCGTTGTCCCCCCTGGGGCCGCTTGACTGGTCCCCCGACGCCAACACAGAGGGAAAGCGGGTCTGTTCCAGGGGCGTCTTTCACTCTGCTGTTTTATGTTTGCTCCCTCTAGCAATGGGTGTTATGCCGCTGCTTCTGATTTACCCACCACTTCATTTTGCATCCTGAACTGAGCGTGTTGGAGGAGGATGCAGTCCGTCCGTGCCCCAAACACCTGGACAGTTGTGGGGGGAGGGACTGGTCCCTGCCGCTCCCTTGGATTCAAAGGGCCGGCCGACAGCACAGCCACGGGTCCCTCAAGCCCCTCCCTGCCCAGGGCAAAGTCCGAGGAGGCCCCACTCTGAACGGCCCAGAGAGAGAGAACAGGTGCGGTCCAGTGGCCAAACAGCTGTGCAGATCTGGGCTCACACAACCCAGCCGCAAGGTGGACGTTTTGGGCAAGACAGGGCCAGGCTTCACCTCCCCTCCAGCTGCCGGAGGGACACAACAAATAAGCCTGCAAGAGGCAGACACGGACAGACGCGCCAGAGAACCCGACGTGCCCGACAGCGGCAGGGATTCTGGGTCTGAAGGGGGAAGGAACAAGAGTGTGGGGATGGCCCACCCCACTGAAGTCAGAGAGAACCAACAGATTTTTCTTATTCTCCAGGAACTGTGTGGTTCTCTCTTCTCCCCTGAGAAGGGAAGCAAGGTCACAAAACACCACTCTGGGGGAAACGTGCAAATATTTAATCCTTACAATCC